TCAGCTCAGGAAGCTAGAAGAAGAAGGTTAGAGAATTAGGTAATCTTGATAAGAACAGTATATAGTAACCTTCTGTCAATCATTTGAATATAACTTTGCTTCGGCAAACTGTTCTTATGGGAGGAAAATTTGACTATTGCGGTTAGATCGTACCTGGGTACTGTCTGGTAGCCAAGTGAGTTCAGATTTGTATAGAGAGAACATTATGTAACTAGCTTAGCTCAGTTTATATTTTTGTTATAATATATTTTATGTTTTCTCTTAATAAATAAAGGGCAAGATTGCCTAAGTTCCAAAAAACAAAAAAGAATAACTTTAGAGCTATATGAGATTTTTATAGACAAACTAGTGTAATTGATTAATGATATATTTAATTATATATAACAATAATCTTTTGAATTACTTTTTTTTTTTTTTTTTTTTTTTTATCTCTTAGCTAATTGGCCGTAGAATGGTATATATTACTATTTATAAATTATATTTTTTGAATTAAAATTTTACTAAATTAATAATAGTTAGCTAAAGCTTTATAAATAAACAAGTTACGTATAGATATTATGTATAGTTACTAGTTTCGATCTGCTTTAGCACAGATATATAATAATAATATCTCTGAGTAGCAATCTAATATATTTAAAAAAATAGATTCTTTAGAGCAACTAACTAATACTAATATTGAAATGTTTGTTTCAGATAATATAAATAATTCAAATTATAAAGATAATGAAATTAATGAACCTTTAGAAAGAGATAAAATAGTAGAATCTCTAGACAATATTGAATCTTTAGATGAAGAATTAGATAATAAATATATAGACATCGAAAAAGATTTTGATAACTATTTGCAAGAATGAGTAAAAATATTAGAAAAGAAAAGATAATATTTTGAAGAAGAAGACTTTGAAAGAGAAGATATAGTTAATGAGTTTTCTATAAATAATACTACTTATCCTGTGATTGATACTAATACAAAATGAAAATTAGCTATACTTTTCAAAAAATTAGAACTAAAAATGTTTTTTAATTTGTAATAATTTATTAAGCAAAATATGAATGAAATTATATTTTATTTATTATTATGCTTTTGATCATGGATTTCTTCTCTAACAAAATTGATCAAGATGATAAATTATATCTTGTGAATAGTTTGTATCATAAAATGCTTGTATAATAATAATTTGATTTATATAAACTTAGATTCCTTTTATTTTAAAAAATTTGTTTTTAAAATATCATTATGTAGCTAAATTATCATGTTATTTAGAATATTTGTTTGCAAAAAAGATATTAGAATATTATTAGAATACTTCAGATATATTGTATTTGAATTATTTAAAGAATTATTAAATCTATAGTAGTTTTACTTTTTTCTTCATATATAAATATCTTAGCAAGACCAATATTTTTGTTTGAAGATGTTTATTTTTTTCGATCATAATATACGCTTTTCTATATAATATCTACTAATTACAGCAAATAGTAGATATCAAACAGTAGATATCAAATGTAATGTATGCAATACTCTATAAATTCTTTAGAATCTTACCTTATTAAATTGTATTGAAAGCTCTAAATCAGAAATATGTATACTGAATTGCTAAATATTACCACTATGCAAATCTCGGTAAATAAGCTTATGAGAATGAATTATTCGAAGATTAGAAATGATTTAAAGTTGTAAATTTAATTTATATTTGTATAAGGAGTTCTTTGGTACATAATTCAAGACACGAATATTATTTTAGAAGCGTCTCTTGATATTCCAATACATTAGGATTTTTTATAACCTAATATCACAATATGCTCTTAAATAAAACTATATGAATAAATTAAAAAATTACCTCTTGTATAAATTTTTCGATATTGTTTGATCCATATAATATTCCACACAATATGAAGTATTGACAGGTATTCCAACACGACCACAAAATATTAATTTTTTATAATCCCGGAAGGCCCTCTTTGGATCGTTATACAATCACTGTAATTAAGTCGCCTGATTTCAGAGATATATTTGAACTGATTATTAATCGATTGATAAATTAAAAAATTGTGTTGCCAATATCAAATAATTAAGTTGATACTGGCCTGAGATGCACAGGTACTGCATAACTATTCAATTCAGCGGATTTGTAGAATTTGTCCTTATTTAAATACCTAGGATTGGATTGTTCTAGTATTAATCATTTTAGATTCCTAATATTTTAGTATTATGCATCAGATTTGTAAATTTGGATCTAATTAAATTTAGAGAATTTAAATAAAGATCAAATTCCACAAATCTGCTGAGTTATTACAATTTTGTTATTATAGTTGAATATAGGTATTACCTTGGACATCTCTTTTTTTTTGTCCATGTCCATGTCCATGTCCATTGACAATACTGCGTATACACATCACATTAAATGCGCAGAAACGATCTTAAAAAAACAATAATATCTTTATAGTATTTCTATTTTTGAACTATTTACAGTAGCTTATGCAATTGGTCAGGATGTTAATTTAAGCGTCAATATTGTAACAGACTTTTGAGCGATGCTAGGATGGTTAACTACAATAAATTCGATATATTGTCACATGAATTACGAATTACATGTACGCAAAATTACACAACCGTTATTTTGGATATCGATATCCCAAATTTATGGAAATTATTTTCGGCGTCCTTGATCACGATCTTTTTCATGAATAATAATATGCCACCTTCTAATGAAATACCCATTGACGTCGACGTAACACCGTCGGAACCAGCTGTCGAAGAAGAACTTAACACACTACCCACAACCGATCTCAGCACTAACGATCTTGATAAAAATACAAAACTGGTAGATCATCAATCGCTTCCACTACCATTCGTTTTCCCCCAAAACATTCGTAATATTTATTTAAGCACTGTAACAAACCTTTCAACAATGCCAAGTTCAAATGATTCAGCCAGCACTACCGAAGATCTAATACCAAAATGGGATGAGATTTGTTTTCAGTGGTGCAAACAACAAGATAAAAATCGAGAAAATGCAATAAATCCAACTTGCAAAATGTTATGTTTCAGAAAAATAAGTAACAATACGAAACACGAATTTTTTAAAAAGAAATTTGCAGTACATGAACAACGATTGGAACAAGATGGAAAAAATCCAACATACAATGCTACACAGGTGTTGTATGGAAAAGGAGATGGAAAAGAAGGTGTAAATTATTCAAAAGTAGGACCTAGAAATTTTTTGGATGGATATTTCATTTATTATATTAAAGGATTGAAAGGATGTCAGAAACACACAGAAGGTAAGTATAATACATTTTCAGCAATTTAATACTTTAAAAATAAAATCTAAAAATTTTTCTCATATAAAGATATGAAAAATGATGAACTTTTAAATCGAACATGGGTACAAGTCAAATCGTAAGTGTAAATGAAACCATATGAAATAGTAAAGTCGTAGAAATTAGGCACTCAAACAACTTAAATCGTAGAGAAGAATATGAAATTGATTTAGGGGAAAAGTTTGAAAGGACTAAAACTGAAAGTAGGTCAAAAATTATGTATATCAGGAAAAACTATGATTAAAAGATTCTAATACATATCAAAAAATAAACATTAGCAAATCGTATCATAAGACGAGCATTCACACCAGGGTATCAATTAGGTAAAAGATATATTGAATCTTGGAGTGATGGTACGCAAACAGCGTTTTTCAGAAGATTTTATGAAAGTGTACAGCGTATGGACGCAATGCATATGGTACAAGATAATGTTAAGAAAATTGTTGAAGTTTGGATTAAAGGAAGTAATAGTGGTAATAGGAAGGATAATGGGTTTGGTAATTCTGATAGTTCTAATGATATTGATCATCGAAAAGAAAAGTCCGAAAATGACAGTGAATCTAACAATGAGAAGGATAAATGAATAATTAAACGGAGAATTATATAGTAGTTGCTATTTAATATAATCTATGGTTCATATTCATGCATAACATTATAATTTAAAATTTTATAAGTCATTTGATTTAGTTAATGCTAATTTCTCGAATATCAATAAAAATTATAAAGCTATTATTATAATGCGAAAAAACATCATATCTAGCTTTACACGATACCGTTACCAATTCTATTGAACTATTCCATCAACGATTGCAGATTCTTATTTATCTCTAATGATAAACCCACAGAAAATATTCAACATCAAAATTATATTACCAATTAATTGTATCGCAGTTTATTGTATTATATCGTTTTTGCTTGTGGTAAAATGTGATATTGTGATTCCATTGCAGAATTCGGATCTTCATCAATTACACCTGTTATTTAGTGAAATTTAGAAGAACAAAAAATTAAAATAATCCAAAACCTAATGATAAAGTTCTTTTGCATGGTTGAAATCTTATTGATCCAACTTGACATTAATATTGATGCCAAAATTTGTTAAAATTAAAATTTTCAGTTTTAAGTATCAATAAATAAGACTCATTATTTCTATGTATAATAACAAAAATGCGATGTGAGCACTTGTTATTCATTTATTGTAGATTTTAAATACTCGCTTATCCATAGCTATAAATTCATAAAAACATCGTACCGTTTCTCATAATCCTTTATAATATCAGTGTATCAGGGAGTTACGTTGTAACTTTATATTCTGAAAAAATCGATATGAAATTTAAATTAATGATATTAAATACATTTTATTTTACCCAAATTATTGTGTTGAAAACCATAATGCTTGTTTGTCCACTCGTTTCGGATTAATAGTTAACAAGTTGATCTTTTAAAATATATTACTTTAAATAACGTTATATGTTCTTATACAGTAATTATCGCGAATTAAGTTTCGTATCCAGAAACTCAATAATCTTGAAAATGCATTTCATCAAATAGGCATATATATATATTTTTTTATAACTTAGTAAACCAATATTTTGTTTATTAAATTGCTTTTCTACATAACTTGAAGAAATAGATTGACCCTTGCTGGAATCGAACCAATGGTATCAAAGTCCTAAGACTAAGAATCCAACCACTTAGGGCCTTTACATAGCGCCAGAATCATACAATGACTATGGCGCTAAAACCTCAGGACTAGGGAAACAAAAGGAACTATTCTCCTTGAGGATCAGAGAATAGAATGGTACGAAACTTGAGAAGGATGTCATATTCACACTTGTGTCTCATTTAAGTAAGAGACCAAGAACCTTCTTGCAGCAAGTGATATCAAAGATAGTACTAATCATGTTGAGAAAACCTTAATTGTTAAAATATTATCAACGCATAATCTTGTTATCATCAACCACCAAGACAATAAGAATTGATAATCATGGATATTACAAACACCAAGAAAAACTCATTTATGACTTAAGTTAGTCACTGTGGTTTAATGTTTTAACTCTTGTTATAAAACAAGAGAAGATAAATCTGTTAAAGCACAATGTTCAAATTTTGCTTTGAGAGCTAGAAAAACAATTTAATTTTTTAACTCTTGCTATATTACAAGAGAGGGTAAATCCATTGAGATGCAATACTTAAATTTTGCTTTGAGAGCTAGAAGAACAATTTAATTTTTTAATTCTTGCTATATTACAAGAGAGAGTAAATCTGTTAAGGCGCAATACTCAAATTTTGCTTCTAAAGCTAGAAGAATGATTTAATTTTTTAACTCTTACTATATTACAAAAGAGAGTAAATCCATCAAAGCACAATGCTCAATTTTGCTTTAAGAGCTAGAAGAATGATTTAATTTTTTAACTCTTGCTATACTACAAGAAAAAGTAAATCTGTTAAGGCATAATGCTCAATTTTACTTCAAGAGCTAGAAGGTATGCATTCTATAACTCTTTACTATAGTATAAACTATAGTAGCATAACTAGTTATAGAATAAAAGACTCAGTTTATCTAGCTAGAATTGCTAGAGTTTTGTATAAGGTTTAAGGATGAACTAATAACTATGATGAAATGTTTTATGTTTTATGTTTTAATATTTTAACTCTTGTCATAAATACAAAAAAGGATAAATCTGTTAAAATGCAATACTTAATTTTACTTTAAAAGCTAGAAAGTATGCACTCTATAACTTTTTATTGTAGTATTAAACATATAACTAATTAAGGAATAAAAAACTTAATTATCTAATCAGTATCATTAGAGTTTGTATAGCATTTAATTAAAATACAAAGTTTTAGATTTTAAAAAAAAAATTATAAATAACTGTTGTGAAAAATATAAATTATAATAATAAATATGTGAATAAATTGCAATTGTTTACAAAAGTATATAATATCAACTCTTTCCAATGATCCTTTTTCCCAAAAAATTCGAAAAAGCAAAAAACAAAAATTTTGTTGAAGACAATGAAGAAGACTCTTTTACAACAACAGTTTTTACAAAGGTCAACTAGGTTTCTACTTCTCCTTAGGGACTTCTTTGT